CCATTCCGACCCCGGATCAAAATCTACCTATTCCAGCGGACCGGAATTCGCCCAAAGTATGCCGAACTTGCAATTCAAGTCATAATTCTATCTCCGGACCTCCAAAATCACTTCCGATTGCACTCCTATGAGTTAACAAGAATCACCTCCCCGATGCTATATCGATATCACCGGATTCCACATCGAACTTATAACTAATGAGTCAACGTTCGTGTTGACTTTTCCAAACCAAACCTTTCCTTAAAGGACGAAGTGTCTCATTCTATCAGAAATCCAATCAATTACAAACTCTAAACTCACCGTGTGCCTGATAAAACAATGAAAGAGCAATAAATGGGGAAGACGGGTTGTATACAGAGACGATGTGTTGGGGTCTCACTCAGCGACCCCATGTACTTTGTGTAAGTGCCGAGCCTAACCTCGATAACAATAGCGACGAGAGCTAAGGTAGGACACTTACAATACTCCGTAACGCAATAATAAATAATATAATAATAACAGGAAATGGAACGTAGCAAGCGTTAAGCTCATAAAAAAAAATAACACTCGAAATCCATTAATAGAGAGCCCAGAATAACAGAGTTTATAAACTCATCTCAAGAAATGAACGAGGCAAAAATTCAAGAATCACAAAAATACAACATATGTAATTGTTGCTCGCGCACAACCCGAATATCCACCATTATTTATATCATGCTGTCTAAATATCATAATTCGTGCCTTATTTTGCCATTTCGAATCTCATCTACGTTTCATTTCCGTTGCGGCGTGTAACTCGCTCCCAAATAGTTTCACCAACACATAACATCAACAAACGAAAATTTTACAGGATTTCTACCATCAAGAAGTAAATTGTTACGAGAATGAATGAATCACATTATAATCAAAGGAGATCGTCTAACAACTTCAAAGTGTTTCAATCTTACCAGCTCATTGGTATCTATCATTGGACAACTCTATAGTGAAAGACACATTATAGAAAGCAATTAAATATATAACGACTAATAAGCAAGTAAGAGCATATGACAATTTTAGATTATGCAAGTAAAACAAGTAGCAAATACATACAGTGAATTCTATTTTACCCCCTTAACCTTTTAGTGTAGGAAAATAATACCCCCTTCACCTTTTGAATGGAAAAGAGAACCCCATTTGACAGTTACTGAGCTTCTTATTTTGAAGTAGTTCTCTGAAGTTCCATAATACATCAAAATTGTAACAGTTTCCTTTTGGACAATTTGGAGCAGAATAGCTTTTTTAGTGTTTATCTTTTATATTGCAATGTTGTTATGGGATTTCCTTAGCTATACTAATAGCATTTCCTGCTAGAACTGGATTAAACTTCTAGCAGTATATTATTGAAAAATGTCAGATCCTCAGCGGAAATGGTTTTTAGAATGTGTTTCAGTGTTATGATGTGTAAAAATATTTACAAAATCTTGTTACTTATAAGGTAGTAAATCTCTACAATTTTCGCACTTCTCTTATAGCTTTGTATTCCTAGATTCTTTGCGACTACATGCTGTGTTATTTGTTTATGTTATCTTATTTTCTTGCCATGTTACCGTTTGCTTATTGTGTCCTTTTCACTGTTCTTGAGCCTGGGTCTAGGGGAAACAACATCTCTCTTCCTTCACAAAGTCGGGATAAGGTCTGCCTACACATTACCATTACCTGATCCCACGTGTAGGATTTCACTGAGTTTGTTGTTGTATGGTAAAAATAGTATTTGACCTGCTTTCCCATGAAAAACTACACTGATTGTGTTAGCAATCTTTACAGTATATAACTTAAATTCTTTATATTTTTTTCTTTGTGCTCTGACATTGAGAAACTCTTGGATTTGATCAGGTGGACACATTAACCCTGCTGTGACATTTGGTATGTTTCTGGCAAGGAAATTGTCTCTAACCAGGGCAGTTTTCTACATTGTGATGCAATGCCTTGGTGCAATCTGTGGTGCTGGTGTTGTCAAAGGGTTCCAGCCATCATTGTATCAGGTTAAGGGTGGAGGTGCCAATGTTGTGAATCATGGTTACACCAAAGGAGATGGCCTTGGTGCTGAGATTGTTGGCACTTTTGTTCTTGTCTATACAGTTTTTTCTGCTACTGATGCCAAAATAAATGCAAGAGACACCCATGTCCCTGTGACTACTTACTTGACTTCTCATTTGTACTTTAGATTTTACTGTTGAGCTATTTAATGTGTGTGTGTGACGAGTATCTGGCGTGTGTATAAAGTAAACTCGTACTCTGTCAAATTATAGTATAGAAAGATGTCGAACCCACAGAGATTGGTTTATCTATTCTACAGACGTTTCTTGTTTTAATTACTATGTGAGAAAATCAGAAAGAGTTGAGTTGTGAATTAACTAACTAAAAATACATGAACAGAGCAATAGAAAATATTTTATTTTTCACCAATATAATAAAAAGGTGTTGGGATCCTGACTTCACTTAATATTTTTATTATATAGTAGATACATTTATCCTTCAACTTCTATTTCTCAAAAATGTATAAATGCCTCTCACGATTACATTTATATATTATTACTATAGTTGAACAATTAAATGCACTCCTCTCGGTTATACAAATTAATTGTTAAAATGGTAATATTAAAGAACCAGAATATATACTTGAACTAAAGCATGCTCTTTTTAGTAAGTCCCTTTCGGTTACCCTACTTGTTATAACTGATTACTACACTATTCGCCTCTTTTGATTACAAATAAGTGTAGAATCAATTTTAACATATATGAGCTAGATGTCACTAAATATAGGTTAACATCGATCAATACCAAAATTAAGTATTACCTCTTCTGCCTCTTTCGATTACAGAATTAGTAAGAAGTTAATATGTAGTACTAAATAGATAGATGTTAACAAATTAAATAACACCCAACTATAAAGCAGATAAAATTTAAATAAAAAGCTTCAGCTCAAGTATGCGAAATTGAAGAATAATATCTACTATTATATAAAAATATTAAGATCCGTCATTTTCCCAACACAAGAAAAGTTACTCCATAATGGAGTTAATACCAACAACGGAAATAATCTTGCCCGTTAAATAAGAAAATAGAAAGAAATATTCAAGAGAATAATTCCTACTATTTAATTAAAAACAGGAACTAGAGTAATTTCCAATACTACAATTTATTCAGAACAAGAAATGAAGCCAGAGTAATGGCTAAAAGATGAAACATAAACAAAACTAAAGAACAAACAGAAAGAAAAAACTTTCTGCTCAATATTCACTTCTCAGATTTCTCTCCCTTTTTCCTTCACGAACGATGCCTCTTTATAGGCAAGCCATGACAAGATTTTCAATTATCTTCTGGATATGAACTTGTCATGCTGGTTGTGGCCTTGTTATGCTTGGTTATGAGCTTCTTTGGTTATGGATCGGTTATGGTTTATTGTAGCCGGTTGTGAGTCGGTTATAGTTTGTTGTAGCCGGTTGTGAGTCGGTTGTCCTTTGTCATGGCAAATCACATCTTTCTTTAGCACCATATTTTACTCTGCTTTAGCTTGTCCGTTTGTCTAATTTTTCCTCTATAATCTTCTTATTCCCGGACCAATACTTCTTTAACCTTTCCTGCATAATTTAGACAAAGTATGGAAGAATATTTTTTGTGTTTTTTCAAAGAAATTATATGTTAAAAATCAAGTAAAATGCACTTATCAAATTCTCCCACACTTAAATATTTGCTTGTCCTCGAGCAAATAAAATAACTAAACATATTAGCTAAACAATTTAACCAAAATCATGAGACCTTTCGCCAAAGAAAAAGTAATTAAGACCGATTCACAAGTTCAGACAACTTTTAACCGTACTCATATTCACCTATTGAGAACTGAAATCATAATATTTCTTAATCCCTAGTGTGTCTCACCAAATGAAGAGAGATGCCCATATATCACACAATATATAGATGTAGAACAAAGTAGGGCATAGATAGAAAAATTCACTCTCTCTCAACAAAGAAGTACCTCAAGCTACTGGAAATTGCCATAGGCTTGACTATCATGTGGTTCTCCACTAGGAGTCTTTGAGTCGAGATCATGTAGGACTTTTGCAAGGTTTTAATGTAGGTTTAGGGATAGGTATGATAGATATGGATAATAGTGACTTAAATTCCCTATGGGCGCTACACTTTATTTTATCACTTAAGCACAATTGTCTTTGCTATGATTTAAACAATAACCTCTATTTTGTTTCATCCCTTTCACATTTTTTTTTACGGAGATGCCGACATTTCTTTGTTGCTATCCTCTCCCTTTTTCTTCTCTCTTTTTTTTTTAAGAATTTCATAAGCAACTTTCTTTTTCAATTCTCATGGCAACATCTCAAAAGATTGACAACCTCAAACAATTATTCTTTCACCAATTATTTTCACAATTACACCTCACGCCTAGATTTTTACATTCAGATCAACTCTTAAAGTGCCCAAAAGGGAATTGGGTGAACAAAGAACAAGTCATAACAACAAACAGGCTAAGGTTAAAGCTTGGTGATCAACAAAATAGGAGATAATTTATTTAGGCTCAACTGGGCTAACTAGGGATAAAAATCATTAAGGTAGGTCAATTTAGGTTATGGCTCAACAAAGAAGGCCTACGTTCATTTCTTAACTCAAAGATCTACCTAGAATTTTGCCTCAATCCACATTCAAGGCAAGTTCTAGATTTCCAGATAAGCAGGAGAACTAGACAATATAAGCTAACAACACAATACACTTGGGCTAACGAAAACTATGATTTCAATCACCAATAAGTAAGTATGAGCTTAAAAAAGTGATCATAAAACCCGTGTACTTAATCAAATTTGTCTTTTTTTTAAGTGTCATACTTTTCAAGTCAAATCAAGTTTAGCCAACTTATTTACCAAAATAAGTTAAAACAACTAAAAGTCTAAAAAAAATGTTTGATTCAAAATATTACGACCATGGCAAAGAACCGAACAAGAAATCCATGGAAGTACATGAAGTAAGTTGCCTTAGGAAAAAGGCAACTCAATTTATTTTATTTTTTGAAATATGTAGAACTAAAAAAAAACACATATAACAAATATATTCCTCTACCCCCAAGCTTAAATAATGTCATGTCCTCATGACAAAATAAATTAACAGTAAAAGGAGATAAAGGAGCTTCCCTGATTTTTTCTGATTCTAGCCTCATTTCCTTTTTCTTGGCTTCTCAAAGTTTCTCTCATATAACAAAGACAAGATTATAGCAAAGAAATGTTCTTTTTCATGATAGGAGAAACCTTTCATTGTCTAAATCATGGGAGTGTTTTTCTTTCGTCATGGCAAAATATATTAATACATACTACATATACATCTATATATTAACTTTTTTTATAAGAAGAAAAACTAATTTAATTATATATATATTTACTAAAAAGGAAATATTATATGTTACTACTAATAATTACTTATAAGATTAAAGAGAGGGAAGAAAATAGTTCTGAGTTTAACGTCGCCGGCTCGACTTATTTTAAAAATTAGGCAAAAAGAATTGTGAAGCCTGTTTGTCGAAGAATCTGCTGATGTATGGCTTCAAACGATGACCGTTTACTTTGAATTTGTCTCCCCCATCTGCATGTTGTACTTCAATGGCACCATAGGGGGTCACTCCTGTGACTATATATGGTCCTGTCCAACGTGACTTAAACTTTCCTGGGAATAATCTCAATCGGCTATTGTACAGCAGAACATGATCTCCCACTTTAAAATCTTTATGGAGGATGAGCTTGTCATGCCACTTTTTTGTCTTTTCCTTGTACAATTTAGCATTTTCGTATGATGTAAGTCTGAACTCTTCCAACTCATCAAGCTGCAATAGATGATTTTTACCTGCATCTGGTAAGTTTAGATTCAACAATCTTATAGCCCAATATGCTTTATGCTCTAACTCTACAGGTAAATGACAAGCTTTCCCAAAAACTAGTCTATAAGGAGATGTGCCTATGGGAGTTTTATAAGCAGTTCTGTATGCCCATAACGCATCATCCAATTTTAAACGACCTAATCTTTTACGAGAAGAACCAACAGTTTTTTCCAAAACTCTTTTAATTCTCTATTGGATACTTCTACTTGTCCGTCTTGTTTGAGCATGATATGGAGTTCCTGTTTTATGAGTAACTCCATATCTTGACAACAAACTAGCAAATTGTCTATTTATAAAATGAGTTCCTTGATCACTTATGATAACTCGTGGAGTTCCAAATCTAGAAAAAATATTTTTCTTGAGAAAAGTACAAACAATATGAGCATCATTTTTTCTAGTAGCAATTGCTTCTACCCATTTTGAAACATAGTCAACAGAAACTAAAATATATTCACAGCCGTTTGAAGGAGGAAAAGGTCCCATAAAATCAATGCCCCAAACATCAAATATTTCACAAACAAGGATAGAGTTAAGAGGCATCTCATCCCTTTTTGAAATGTTACCGCTTCTCTGGCATTTGTCGCAAGTGGCAACATAATTTCTTGCATCTTTGAATAAAGTAGGCCAATAAAATCCAACTTCAAGTACTTTAGCTGCTGTCTTTCTTCCTCCGTAGTGTCCTCCTACAGCTCCATCATGGCAGTGACTTAAAATGTTGTTCATTTCTGTTTCAGGTACACATCTCCTGATTATGTCATCTGCACAAAATTTAAACAAATAAGGATCTTCCCAATAATAATGATTTACCTCTTTTTTAAGCTTTTTTCTTTGATCGTAAGATAAATCTTTTGGAATCCACCCTCCAGCTAAATAATTGGCAATATCAGCAAACCAAGGAGGTCTATTTACAACTGTTGCGACAGAAAAGATATGCTCATCAGGAAATTCCTCTTGGATATCTAGTATTTCAGTAGGAGGATTCTCTAAACGCGACAAATGATCAGCTACCTGATTTTCTAAACCTTTTCTATCTTTTTGTTTCGAGATCAAATTCTTGCAAAAGGAGTATCCATCTTAGCAATCTAGGTCTAGCATCTTTCTTTGCTAATAGATACTTTAAGGCTGCATGATCGGTAAACACTGTAACCTTCGTTCCTATCAAATAAGAATGAAATTTGTCAAACGCAAATACTACTGCAAGTAGTTCCTTCTCAGTTGTGGCATAATTCTTTTGTAGCTTCATTGAGGGTTCCCACTGGCATAGTAAATAGGCCTGAAAATCTTGTCTCTCTTTGTCCCAAT